TATTTTTATTATTGTAAGGATGAATTGTAGGGATTTGGAGGGCGATCACTAACATAGGATCTATGTTTATTATTTCGGGAAAGTTGGTACTTTCTAATTTCTTTAGGATTAACATGACTTCATTAAATAACTTCTGAAGTAGGTTAGAGGGAGGTATTTCCTATTTTTATGGATCTAGAAGAGAAAATAGGACAAGTAGAGGGCTATTTCCTATTTCTATGGATAAATAGTACAATTAGAAATAAGCGGGAGAGATAAATTTTTAATTAGGACGATTAGAAATAAGCTCAAAATTTTAAATAAATTGGAAATAAGCAAGAGAGATAGTTACATTGGGCTCAAATTTTGTTGGAGTTGCTTGTATGAAAGAGGGGTCCAATGAATTAGGCCTCTTTTTGAAAAATGTTTTAATGTGAGTTTTTCTGATGAAAGGGAGAGAGCTTCTTTGGTGTGACAAGAGGGCCTCTCTCTTCTCCTTGGTTTGATTTTTCAGACATATGTTATCCTCATTTTGCTAAAATTTGAATGTTCAATGATTTCTCAGACGTATGTTATCCTCATTTTGCTAAAATTTGCATGTTCAAAGCAAAAAAAGAGGGCAGACTTAATTTCCTGCCTTCCTTTTGCATCCTTTTGTTATTAGAGCCATTTTCGAAGGCAGGCAGTTAGATGCTACGATGGCTAATGGCCATGCTCATGGCCGTTTTGAGTATTGATATGGACTGAGTGCACGATCGAAATGGCAACCTGGGGGAGATTATTGCATACCTAAGCTTGAGCAATATTAGTCGCAGTGTTCCCAAATGAAGAGTGCCTGAAATGGAGATTCTCCTTGAATCTACAAGTTCTAGTTCTCTGAAATTTGGAATTTGGTGATGTTGAAAGTTTGAGAATACTTGTTTGATGAGCTATTCAGAAATTTTCAAATACAGTTATCAAGATTCACAGCGATCTAACAAGGAAAAAGTTTATATAAGGATGCAACCTTATAATGTAGAACTGCGGATGCCCCTCAAAAAATACCATCCGAAAGGGT